TGGTAGAGAGAGAGAGACCCCAGGAGTCTGCTCTGGAAGGAAGGGGAAACTGTGTGGACCAGGACTTCAGAGAGGTAGGAGGGTAGGAAGGAGGAGGAAGAGCTTGCTGGGAGGAAGAAACTAGTTAGGCCAGGCTGGAGGACAGGGTGTGGGGGAAAGGGAGGAAGGAAGTGGGAGAAGCAGCCCTGAAAGCCAGGCTCAGGACTTACAAAGTAACTTACAAGACCTGGCTGCACTTGTGAGAAGTGCCTGTCATGGCGTGGTGCAGGCTGTGGGAATAAAAAGCAGGCCAGGGCCTGCAGGCGGGAGCGCTCTGCGTCAGCTGGGCTCCTTCCTTGGAGACATTGCCTCCTAGTATGGCAGACCAGGTGTCAAGGTGACATGTTGGTGGCATGTCCAAGCCCTGTACACTGTTCTGAGCTGACTGCAGTTCTTGCCCATAGCAGCCTTGGATGCCAGTGTCCCCTCCCCATGTCCAGGTAGAGACAAACTGGAGCTCAGGTTGTCAAGCTGGGCCTGAAATGTCTCACTCCTACAACAAGGAGGAGGGTCCAGAAAGGGCCAAGCAGTTCACCTCTGTGATCCAAGGCCCAAGCTGCCCCCTCACCAGCATACCTGTTCCCACCCAGCTCTATTCTCATGGGCTTTTTCATTTCCTTGGTTTGTTTGTTTGTTTGTTTCAGAGTTTGTCTATGTTGCCTTAGCTGGCCTAGGATGGAGATGGTTATACAGAGATGCGCCTGCCTCTGCCCTCCACTGCCCAGCCCCCACTCCCCACCCCAAGTGCTAGAGTTGAAATCATGAGCCACCATGAGCTCACCTGTCTCTTAAAAGGTGCTGGGGAGGGTCCAATGACCTACCAGTCACTAGCTTTACAGAATGCACATCTCACATGCGTTACAGTCACAGCCCTAGGATGGGATCCAGACACTGGAGTGACCACAGGGACATGGAGACACAGTCCTCTCTCCTAAGACCACTAGGTTCTGGCTCCTGTGGACTCAGGCTGGGCACCAGGGTCAGAGACAAAGCAGTCTCGGGCCTGCCTGAAAGGAAGCAGGCAGAAGACACACTCAGTCACTGAGTGACCTCATGAGATATCCAGGACCTTGACTAAGGGAACCAGCTGTTGCAGGCACCATAGAGTAGGGCAAGTGTGGGGTGTGGGGTGGGGAGTGCAGGGTGTCTGCAAAGACACAATAATCAGTTTCTTCCCTGGGTTGATAATGGCCCCCAAAGATAGCCATATATGGGAATCCTTAGACCCTGTGGACCTCATGTAGCACTAAAGGCTTGCAGGTGGATGGATGGAGGACCCTGGATGTGTCCTAATGGTATCTGCAACAACAGTCTTTATAAGAGAGTCACAGGGCTGGGCATGGGGCTCAGTGGCAGAGTGCCTGCTTAGCGTGGACAAGACTCTGGGGTCTTCCTCACCACTGCCATGAATGAATGAATGAATGAATGAATGGAGCCATGTGTGGTAACACATGCTGGTGTCCCTAACACCTTGGAAGCAAAAGCATGAGGATGAGGAGTTTGAAGTCTAAGGCTATTCTGAGCTACAAGAGACCTTGGCTCAAAAAAAAAAAAAAAAAAAAAAAAAAAAAAAAAGGGAGGGGGGGGGGGGGCAACAAGCCATTCACCAAACAGATAAAGGCACTTGCTAGCCACATCTAACTTCCTGAGTTCCATGTCCACTTCCTCACCACTGCCATGAATGAATGAATGAATGAATGAATGAATGAATGGAGCCATGTGTGGCATCACATGCTGGTGTCCCAAACACCTTGGAAGCAAAAGCATGAGGATGAGGAGTTTGAGGTCTAAGGCTATTCTGAGCTACAAGAGACCTTGGCTCAAAAAAAAAAAAAAAAAAAAAAAAAAAAAAAAAAAAAGGAGGGGGGGGGGGGGGGGACAGAAAACACAGTCATTCCCTGGAGCAGCCCCTGTCTCTAGGGAGAAACATGGTGGTCACTGATGCATCCTCATAGTCTGAGCATCCCTTGGAATAATGCCTTGAATCTACAAAACTAATGAGCAAAGCTCCCTTCACTAATGGTGCAGCGGTGTGCTCCCCCTAATGAAGTTGATTGGCACCACATTCAAATGCAAATCTCAGTCTTTGTTTCTTACACATAACCTCTTTTATTTTTTCCTTTTAAAGCAATGCTCTGGTGGTGCGGAGAGTCTCAGCTCAATTGCAATCTAAAATGGGGGTTGAGGTTTTATTTCTTCAATTCCCTCCCCAATCTCCATTTTCTCAGAGTCATCAAGAAAACTACATTCTTTTTGAGTTTCCCTTAAATTTAAAAGAGATGGTGGGAAGCAAGTTCTGACCATGTGACTGATGAAGCAGGGCTATACCACAGAAACAGAGGAGCTGGGAGCTAGGTCTTCTGCCCACCCACCTCCACCCATTCCACCACCACCCTCCACCCACTACCCACCCACC